TTACATGCTGCAAACATGGAGCATCTCATAATGTCTGCAGGGAGGATGATATATCCTCCTATCTGAAGGGCCTGTTGAGAATGTGACCTCCTTGCTCTCCTTAGCGGCCAAACACTGTAACCAGATAACTCCAGTTCAGTTTCTGAGAGCGACTGGCTCTAAAGTTAGTGTTTGACCTTTCACTAGCAGGATGGAGGGGTGTAAAGAAGGGAGTTTCAAGTAGCATTCCCTAGGAAAGATAAATGGGCAGATGCAACTCAAGTTCTGCCTCTGTGTATAAAAACTGAGAAATGAAATAACAGGAACTGATTTTTAGAGCCTGGCAGGCAAGAGAAATGATTTCTTGGCAGAGAGTTGGGTGTGTTCCTTGAAAACCTAGTTTTGAAGTTCAGAGATAAGAAACCCCGAAGCATTCTTGTTAGGTAACTCTTAAAGACTTTCCATAAGGCAGCCTTGTGCAACTGTAAAATTGTACAATCTTCAGTTCCCCTTTATGCTTTTGGTAGTCATAAAAATCTGTAATTTTGAAAGCACACTCAAACATTTTAGAGCAATCTTGCTGATTTCAGAGGGAAATCCTCCAAACTGCAATCTGTATGGTAATTTCAATATGTGTTCATGCTGCAGAGAAAAAAAAAGGCGGGTGTTGGAGGAGGACCACAAGTTTGGGGGAGGGAGGGGAGTTATTCGGTTTCCTGTAAGGATGCTCTTTGTTTCAAATACAAAGCGGTCACATGATCCTCTAAAGCCACATACTGTTTTAAGGCTCTGAAGTATGTTTCTGTAATGGGGAGAGTCACATCCCTGCCATCCTGCCATCCTCTATTTTCTCATTGGCCCCTTACCTCTGCAAAGGAACTGAGAAGGATTTTCCGAGCCGTATCCTACCAGTCTTCATTCTGATATTGGTAGAGGATTGCTCTGTCAGCCTGGTGGTGAGTGTTTCCAGTTGAATTCTGTGATTTGCTGAGAGTAGGACAAGTCAAACGTGGAACTTGGGCTGTATATTCCAAAAGCAGTTACTCAGTATGTCTCTGTAGGGATGTTTTGCTGCCATTTAAAATGCCAGAGAGAAAGCTCAAATAGATATTCAGTGTTAAAGCAGAAAGTCTACCTTCAATAAATTCCTTTGCCCAGAACTAGATCAAAGGTTAGAGATTAAACCAGAAATAGGTATCGGATATCTTAAGTATTTTGTAATACAATTGTCATCCTTATTTTGCATAGCCAGTGCTAATAAACTATGTTAATGAGACTGATCTTCTGCAGGACACCATGTTATTTGTCCTAATATTTGCCAGTAAATATTTTCATGCCATCTGATTCTCAGTGATTCTAGTAGTTACTCCAATCTGTTTTTTTTCCTATCCAAAAAGGTGGCCCTTGATGCTTTCTCAAACTGCTCTTCTGTTCTTTCCTACATGTGGAGCTGAATTAGTTCTCTTAACCCATTCTGGAGATAACAGTTGTTTTTTATATTTTTCCTTTAGTTTTGGCCGTATTGGCCGTCTGGTCACCAGAGCAGCAACCAGCAATGGCAAAGTCCAAGTCGTCGCCATCAATGACCCATTCATTGATGTGAATTACATGGTAATAACCCTCTGTTGTTCTTCACGGGGCCTGAGTTTGTCTGCTTTTTAAGGCAAAGCAAGAAGTTACACTCAATCATAGAAACATTCATATGTCAACACTCCCCTCCAATATTCTAGAAATGTGTTCCAGTAAGCTACATTAATGTTGTGTGTCTTAATTTCAGGTGTACATGTTTAAATATGACTCTACTCATGGCCGCTTCCCTGGAACTGTCCATGCTGAGAATGGAAAACTTGTCATCAATGGACATGCCATCACTGTTTTCCAAGAGTGAGTAACACCCCCTCCATTCAGGTTTTCTTTACTTGTGTAGTCTATTTCTTGCTTGCGGAGTCTAAGCTTGTCCTTCTCTCTTTTCTTCTTGCCAGGCGTGATCCTGCAAACATTAAGTGGGGTGAGGCTGGTGCCGAATATGTTGTGGAATCAACTGGTGTTTTCACCACCACAGAGAAAGCTAGTGTAAGTATCTCTTACAGAAGGAGCATTGTATACATTTCTGCTGTAAAGATAGGTGTACAGTCCTGATACTGATGGAAAATTTGGATGACATCTGGATTCATAAGTGTTTTGTATTATATTTTTATGAGGGTTGCGAAGAATGAGACATGACTTTGCAACTGAACAACAAAATTCTATTTTATATTTTTAGAATTTAATGTCTTATGTACATATGCTCAAAACACCTATCTTCTGAGGAGGAATAGATCCTTTGATGGAGTGCTATGGTGAAACAATGATTTTGGCATTTAGACATGGCTACTTTAAATTATTTATCTGCTTAGCCGCTTGAATTGTGAGATCGGTGGCAAATAAATTTGATAAATAAAAAATTATCAAACATTTCCATCATACTATATGAGAAAAGAATTTGCATAGCAATGTGTGACTGGATTGTTCTTAAGAGTGTTGCTTGCAGTCCAGTCTTGGATTATTTGTATTTTTTTAAATAGGAAGTAAAATGTTACTCTTTTCCCTTATAGGCTCACTTGAAGGGTGGTGCTAAACGTGTTATAATATCTGCCCCATCAGCTGATGCTCCCATGTTTGTGATGGGTGTCAATCATGATAAATACGACAAATCTTTGAAAGTTGTCAGGTGACTATAGGGGAAAGCAAGGGGGAAGCAGGGCTGTATTGCCAGAATAACATAGGTCTTCTAAGATGGTGCATGCTCATCCACTGAGTGCTTCTTCCCTTTTATTTTTCCCCAGCAATGCTTCTTGCACTACCAACTGCCTGGCACCACTGGCCAAAGTCATCCATGACAACTACGGCATTGTGGAAGGTCTTATGGTACGTGAATTGCACAAGTCCTAGGTAGTTCCTCTGTTTCTCCAACACTTAAAAGAATTAAGAATTGTGTTGCATAATGGTGAAATGTTAAATGGGAATGGTGATCATGTGTGCAAATTTTTCCTGTGGTATAAATGATCTATGCTGCTGCTTCTATTCCAGACCACAGTTCATGCCATCACGGCCACACAGAAGACTGTGGATGGCCCCTCTGGGAAGCTGTGGAGAGATGGCAGAGGAGCAGCTCAGAATATCATCCCAGCATCCACAGGTGCAGCCAAGGCTGTAGGCAAAGTCATTCCTGATCTGAATGGGTAAGCCTGCCTGAGCACAAAGGCAAGTGAGTGTGTCATAGGCCAAAACAAGGACTATGTATATCTTAAATCTTGAATCTTTTCCAACATTCACAGGAAACTCACAGGAATGGCTTTCCGTGTCCCAACTCCAAATGTTTCTGTTGTGGACTTAACATGCCGCTTAGAGAAACCAGTGAGTACTCCTTCCTATGGTAGCTCTGAACCTGCTTTTTACTGCTAGTACAAAACGGGGGTTCAAAAATCTAGATCAGCAAAGAGATTCAGAAAACTCATGTAATGGCTAACCAATGCTTGGCAGTCCACATTTGATGGTCCATACTTTTCTAGGTTTTGGGGAGTTTGTTCAAACTCAATTATGGGAGGTGCCAGATTGGGAAATGCTGCTCTAAATGTACTGCAATCAAATTCTTTGTAACTTAAATTAGGAGTGCAGAACTTGTGGTCCTTGAGATTTTGAACATGCTTTTTGCCAAGGCTATTTAAATGGTAGCAGATATTGGAGAGAATGAATTGACTGTAAGCACATTAGGAAATTGGGGCAGAATTTGATTATTTAATACTTCTGTCTCCCTCACTTGCTTTCTTAGGCGAAGTATGATGATATTAAGAAAGTTGTGAAGGCAGCTTCTGAAGGCCCAATGAAGGGTTTTCTGGGATACACAGAGGACCAGGTAAACTGAAAAAAATTGATGATACAAAAATAACTTATCAGTCCATTGGAGCATTTTGTAACGATTGTGGTAACCTGTTTAGGTATTGTAGACATGACTGTATGTAGTCAAAAATATGCTTTTTCTTCTCTGCCTTCAACATGTAAAATGTGATCATCTCGTACAACCAACCATTCCATCTAGGTTCATTTGATTTGTCTCGTAAATATACATGGAGGCTTAAATTCGAGACTTGGCTTTTCAGTGCTTATCTTCATGGATTATAACATCTACTACTTCTCCCCCAGGTGGTCTCTTCTGACTTCAATGGTGATACCCACTCTTCCATCTTTGATGCAGCTGCTGGCATTGCTCTCAATGATCATTTTGTCAAGCTGGTCTCCTGGTAAGAGACGGAAGGGGGTTGATGATGGCTGTTAGTTGTCTTACTGGGTTTGGGAAGAGGTGGAGGTGCAACATTTAATATTCTGGTCAACAGCAGATGTGGGAGTGTATGGTGGCAAGCAATGGCTTCATGCTGCTGTATTTGCTAATGTCTATTTTTCTCAAGACTAAAAGACCCTCTTTTTCTTTCTTAGGTATGATAATGAATATGGATACAGCAGTCGTGTGGTAGACCTGATGGTTCATATGGCATCTAAGGAGTAAAGACTGTATGGTTTTCTTATTCTTATAACTTGGCTCTGTATTTTGCAGTTAGAGGCACTTTGTTCCATCTGCCTCTGAGGAAGTAGAGAGGCTGGAAGAAACGTGAATGTTTCAGTAACATCTCCCCTCTTAATAAAGTCATCACTGTCTCAAACAATTTTCTTCTCTTGTGTGGCAATATTTGGACTGAAGTTATAAATACAAAAAACGAGGCTTTCGAAAGGTTATGATCTAGCTTACATTTTTCAATACACCCACAACATATTTGCAGGCTCCAGGGTGCAGCTGCCATATGAAAATGCCTTACTTTACCTGGTATTCCAATTATGAAGAATCTTTTTTTTAATCCTGGAATTTGGCTTCATTAGGGCAATACATTTAGCACTGGCCTTTAATTTATCTCTTCTAGAATCCATTTCAAAGTGCATTGCTTTTCAACTTGCATAAATTTACCTAATATTTTTGTGTTATATTCCTCTAAAATATATTAATAGTTTTGATCACTCACTTTGGGAATAGGCTGCTGATTCTTAAATTTGGCTAAAGTATTAAAATAGCTGAAACTTGTTCAGCCTTGTTCCTTCCACAATCCTGAACAGCTATGTTTACTTTATTGTCATTGCACCTTGTACAATGAAATTAAATACCACCTTCAGTGTACACTATGACTATGAAAATAAACACAAACACACATTCTTCACATTCTATACAATTGAATTGAAAACCCTTGATATTACATTAATATTGCACTATACAATAGAATTCAGTAAGAGTTACTGCTCTGGGATAGAAGCTGTTTTTCAGCCTATTTGTCCTTGTTTTTATTATCCTGTACCATCTGCCAGATGTTAATAATTTTAAAAAAAGTGCCCAGGATGAAATGGATCTTTGAGAATGTTTTGAACTTTCTTAAGGCAGCGGGAGCTATAAAGCTCTTCCAAAGAGGGGAGTGGGCAACCAATGATCTTCTGGGCAATGACGTTAACCCTTTGGAGTGCTGTCCTATATGCCTTGAGTAAGTGGTTTTATTGTACTACTGGTAGCTCAAAAACTGGGCAATTTTTAATTTTCCCCCACTTCCTTCCCATTGTGGACTGAACTAAGGTTATATGGGATGATGAATGAATGTTCCTGCAGAACTGAATGGAATTTGGAAATGCAAATGCTACTCATTACATGAACTCGGGCAAGCTGAAACAGCTATATACTTCCAGTAGCAGTGGATTGAATGATAATATACATTTTCATATGCAAACAAGAGTGACACATTTTTGTGGAGGAAATTTTGTATTCTGAGATACAACCCTTTGAGCAGCCAGAAGAGGGCTGCAGGTGGTGAGAAGGTCCAGGCCTGTTTCTTGCCCATATACATGACAAAGCTGTTGGTTATCAATTAGTTAATATTTCTGCTGCTGTCATCTATTCTGATTTCCATGCTACCTCTCACCTACTCATGTGGGATGGGCTCTCCCAGCCTGTGCAACCTGCAAACTTCAGAGTGAGCCTGATTGTGGCAATCAAGATGAACAAAGAAAAAATTGAAGTATCACCTGCCCATCTGGAGTCCCTTCATATACCAGAAAGGGGTGACAAAATGAGCATTTGGAGTCTGGAAGTAAAAACATATTTGTTACATATTTATGAATAATAAATGAACATCAATTTGATAACAGTTAAAATTGCTAACATTGTAAAATCATGCATCCTTCCCTCCCCCCCCCCCAGTTATAAATGGGGGGAGGGACTAAATCATTAACACTGTAGATTGCATTCTAATGCAGAATTTAGTTGCCTTGGAGGTCATTTCTGCCCAAAAAAAGAGGATAATTTTTTTTCATCATGCCTGGTATCTTGCTTTTGAATCAGTGTTATGTCGATTTCCTGTGACTGCCTCTACCCTGCAGTTTTCTTGGAACCCTAACCCTAACTCATCTTGCTGCCTTTAACCATTACACCAAACTCAACTGAAACTTCATACTGTTTTACTATTATAGTATTTTAAATACATGAGGTGAAAGAGGACATATTGCCTTGATTTGATCTCTTGCAAAGGATATTAGTGAATCTTATGTTAAGAATGCTGTTCATCGTTCCATAAGAGTCAAAGGTAAGATAGTGAGCATGGCTAATATAAAAGCTTTCCTTTGTATGGGGTACATATTGGTGGAGTATTTGGCCATTGAGAACGCTCTCCCTAGGATACCCAAGTTAGAAATTATTGTAGTAAAGCTTAATTCCTTTTTTTAAGCCTTAGTCAAGTCATCATTTGTTTTATTTCAAACAGTTGTTTGTTAGCCAATGAAGATCAAGATTGTGTGGAAAATTGGCAAAATCTTGGATTTCATTTCAATTAGCCATGGGGGAGGAAAGTTACTTTGCAAAATCCAAGAAATAATGGCTTTTAGAGTTTGACTTAGTATCTTAGCAGAGTCAGAGAAACTGGCTACAAGGAAGACAAGCCTATTCCTATTTCTTTTTTTAAACATTATAATTTTTATTAAATAAGTATTTAATAGAATAAAAGCCATTTAAATTTTGAAGAGAAAAATAGAAAACGAAATAAGTGAAAAGAAAAAAGATAGGAAAAAAAGAGGAAAAAATAATAAAGTGACTTCTGGTCTTAACAGCAGTATGTATTACATTTTGCCCTCTCTCTCTAAGGTTACAATGTAACTTTTCATTTCCAAAAACTCCCCTTTGTAATAATCAAATCCATAAATCTCCAATGCATTTTTTCTTTTTTCAGCAAAAAGGTCCATAAGAGGTTTCCAGTTGCTAACAAATGTAGCTGATCTTTAAGAAAACTAATTTTGCCATCTCTGCTAATTCTATCATTTTGACCAACAATTCTCCATTGTGTTTCTGAGGTTTTCCTAGCGTATTTCCAAGGTTTTCCTAGCATATTTCTATTTCTAGCAAAGAATTGTGTCATGATTAAGATGACCTTTTAGTTTCAATGAAGAATTATCTTATTTTTATTTATTCCCACCTTTATTATTTTTTACAAATAACTCAAGGTAGCAAACATCCTTCACATACATGTGTAAGTAACCTGTTCATAAGTTTCAAGTAATGTCAGGCCTTCAATCCATTGCGGTTTCTGTTTTAAAGCAACATATGTAACTACTGAACATCACTGCTTTAAGATGTCTGAAGATTTTAGCTATGACTGATGTGCCTACTACCATGGGGGTTAATTTTTTAGTTATTTTTGCTCAACCATGGCAGCCCTTCTGCTCTTTTGTGATCTTTAGCTGGCATTTTGTCTAGCTTGCGATTTGTTGAAGATTAAACCTCTAATAATTTCTATGAGCAAAAATCTTAAAACGGTAAATTCTATGACTCATCATATCACCCTTCCCTCCTCTCTTAGCCCTTGCTTGTAAGATAAGGCAGTTGTATTGAACTGTAAGAATGCAAGAAATGTTATATAGATAGCAGTAAGAAGCACCTGCCCCTTTAGAAAAGGAACATAAAGCAGTATACGAATACAGATATTAAATTAACTGGTTAGGAATAACTGGCTTCCCAGTTGGAAGACAGTAAAGTTATCACTGTGCTCCAAACCTTGAAGGCAGTCACAATGCTAGTCTACAAAACTAGCACACTCCATTTACCATTTTTTCTAATGAAATGTAAGCACCAAGCTCCACCGACTTCCTTTAACTCCTTTAGCTTCAGCTGAGAATCCACTAGATGGCTCTCCAGGGCAATAAAATTTGCTTTAATATGCTAGCAGCGATTGCAAGACTGGTGGATTGAGTGTTCCTGTTTTTTTTATTTTCTGCAAAACAGATATATATCCCCATCTGCACCCTACCCTGTAAATAGGGGAAAGGCACATCATTTATGCTTCTAAACCAGGTTTGCCTCTAGCAATGGCATTTTCCAACCCAGCAAACGTTACAGCAGCATGATGACTGTGTGAAGTTCTGTGTGAGTTTTGGCTGGGAGAGGAAGAAATGTGGTGCAGAGATGGCTGCAAAGGAAGGACATGCAGGCTTATCTTAGGACATTTTTTTAAAAAAAATCAGCATTTACACCCTGAAGTGAATCCTTCCATTCCTCACCATCCAATCAGAGCTAAAGAAGCTTCTTGGATGTGAGGCGAAACGTCTTCAAAGAATAGCAATAGCACTTAGACTTATATGCCGCTTTATAGTGTTTTACAGCCCTCTCTAAGTGGTTTTTACAGAGTCAGCATATGGGTCCTCATTTTACCCACCTCGGAAGGATGGAAGGCTGAGTCAACCTTGAGCCTGGTGGGATTTGAACTGCCAAACTGCAGGAAACCGATAGCAGAAGTGGCCTACAGTACAGCACTCTAACCAGTGTGCCACCAAGGCTCGAGAAAAAAGCAAGGAAGTCCAGTTGTCTCTTGAAAAAAGCACCTTTGGGATACCCTGAAGTGGCAGGACACTATTTGTGGGGTTGTGGCATGCTTGCTATTGTAAGGTAAGGTAAAGTGCTCCACGCTTAAAGTTGCCAAGGTTGGAGACCCCTGCTCTATCTAGCCACAACAGGACTACGGTAAATCCAACCCCCCCTCCTTTTTGAATTCCACTGACCATATCTAGCACCAAAATATTTATTTATTTATTTATTTGATTTGCCAATTGTTTACAAGATAATAAGTATAAGTGTATACTTAGTTGTGAATACATGAAATGGGTACATATAAGAAAAATAAAAGAATAAGAGAAACAATAGGACAGGGGCGGTAGGCACATTGGTGCGCTTATGCACGCCCCCTACAGACCTCTTAGGAAAGGGGTGAGGTCAATAGTAGACAGTCTAAGGTTAAAGTTTTTGGGGTTTGGGGAAGAAACTACAGAGTCGGGTAGAGTATTCCAGACATTGACCACTCTATTGCTGAAGTCGTATTTCCTGCAATCAAGTTTGGTGCGGTTAACTTTGAGTTTGTATCTATTGTGTGCTCTTGTATTGATATGCTTAAAGCTGAAGTATTCATTGACAGGTAGGACATTGCAATGTATGATTTTATATACCATGTTTAAGTCAGACCGAAGACGGCGTAATTCAAGGTTTTCTAGTTCTAGAATTTCAAGTCTGGTGGCATAAGGTATTCTACAACGAGTAGAGGAGTGGAGAACTCTTCTTGTGAAATATTTCTGGACTTTCTCAATTGTGCTAATA